TATCTATTGAAGCCCCAGCATGCAGCGGGACAGGGTGAGCCTAGAAAGAAAACCATGGCCTCCTAGGGTGAGGGGAAAAAAGAAACAGCAGTGTAAGTGCCAGAAAGTTGAAAGGGAATGAACCTTTCCAGTGTGTGTGGTTGGGGGCAAAGCAGTTGTGCTGAGCTTTGGTATGGAGGCACAACATATGTGCCTCGGTTGGACAAAATGCTTCTCAAGTCAAATCAACAGCAAGGCCTGCGTGTTGGTGCAAGGTGAAGGCCTAGATAATGAGGGGCAAACTCAAGAAGCAGCGAGTGGATAATGCTACGTAAGTATGGAATTATATACCGCATTTTCACCATTCTGTTTAATGAGAGCCGCCACCGCAGCGAATCACTTGCCACACAGCTGAAATGGGCCATTAGCTATCAAGAGAAAATTGTCTTTGCCGCTTTCAGCAGATGGAGCAAATATTTTACAAAGCAATTTTACATACCAAAAACATTTGTGTGCCTTGGTAATGTTGGCTGTTTTACATTATGTTACCTTCTACAGCAGCATAATTTTCCATCTCATCGAAGGCAAACTTGGCATTTTTGATTTTTAAATTCTCAATTAACAATTAAACATGGAGTATTAAAGCAGCCCTTAAACTTTAAGTAGGTGTGGAAAGTAGTTTATGACTTGCTGGAGCATTTTCATTTTTTCTTCATTCTCTCAGTGTATTTTTGCACTCTTAAGGAGGAACTATTTCTAATGATCTTAATGTAAAGAAATGAATGGAAACTTCACTACTGGTTGCAGAAGGAAACTAACCAGTGTAAAGAGTGATCAGAGCATGTGCTGGCTTAAAACATTCCTCACGAACCGTAGGGAGCCAGTTGTCCCAGCCATTTTTATCCCTTTGAAATGTTTAAACTTCAAGTAACAGAAAACAGACTAAAATGGCTTTAAAGATAAGAAGCCAGGCCTAGTGGTGCAGGCCTGTGGTGCCAGGACCCTAGGAGGCTGAAGCAGGGGGACTGTGAGTTCAAGCCCAGCCTGGCTAACTTAGCAACTTAACAAGACCCTGACTCAAAGAAAAAAAAAAAAAAACGGAGGGGGGAGTGTTCAGTGTTCAATGCCCAGTGCTTAAAAGAAGAAAAGAACGAAATTATTATCTCAGCTATCTGAAAGTTCAAAGATTGTTCTGACTTCAACTAAGTCTTAATCCAGTAGCTTAGTGATGCCACCCAGGAAGGACCCTGTGTCTGTGCAGAACCTTGACTCCATTCTAAGGCTGGCTGCCCTCAGGGTTGCAAGTTATCTGCCAGTAGCTCCTGGAGTTTGTCGAAGCAGTAGGAAGAGAGAGCATCTCACCGGGAAGCATTCTCAGAAGAGTGTAAAGCTCCTTTCAGAAGGTTCCAGCAATGCTTCCTAACATATCATTGACCGCTGTGGCCTAATCGGAACCAAATGTAGAGGCCAAGGCATGGCACTGGTAGTCCGGGACTCACTTTGGAGGTGAGGGTGGAATCCCGTTCAATGACTCTTGCGTGGTACGATATGGAAAGGGAAGTTCCTCAAAGGAAGTACCATTAACAGCCAACAACAGACGTGCACTCCTACTTTTTCATAAATTTAACTGCAGATTTCACATCACCCGGGGATGACTGAATCTCACCCTGACTGACCATTTGGTGCCCACTGAGGTGGGAGCAGACATAGATCCCACTGTCCCATGGTGCACTGGTAACACCTGGATTTGAATTCCAGTTTTGCTACTTCCTGGCTGTGTGACATGAAATAGGGATGAAAATATTTATGTTAGATAGTGGTTGTGAAATAATAAATGTAGGACCCCTGCCAGGTCAACTTTCAAAAAGTGAAAGCTATTTTTTAATCTAAAGATGACTGCAGTAGTAGAATGTATCCTGGCACAGCAAACCAGCCTTCTAAATCCACCTTTGAATTTGGAAGCCCTCCCTTCTCGCCATTTCTGTGCCACTGGCCGGTTCAGAGCTCTGGCACCTTCCATGGTGCCCTGCACTTTACTTCCTGAAAGAGTTGAGGTAGTGAAGAGCATTTACCCAGGGGTCAGAGCAGCCTGAGAGCTCCTGCAGTTTTGCAGTGTGTCTTAAAAGCCCCTTCCCTCTTCTGTTACATGAGGCACCTGTCCTAAATAGTCCATATGGCCACTTTCCAGGCCAATGGTGCTGCTGCATTTTTCAGGTCACTGTCTTGCCCTTTTGAGTTCATGCCACTCTCCATATCTTCGTTTAGGGTTATCAGAAGGGTCTATAAAACAGAACCACCTGGGCAGATCCTTTGGTTTTCCTCTGATACTTGATCTTACTTAAAAGACTGAGAAGCGATCCCTTGGTTTTCTTTTGAACACCATTAAAAGATGTGTGATGTAGGAGATTAGAGGTCAATGTGTTATTTTACTTAATAAATCACTGATAATTCAGCAAAAGGCTGCTAAAATAAGAGTTTTAGTGAGACCAATCTTGAGAGTATTCTAATTTGTATTCGTCCTTCCTTTCCCATCCTCTCCAATGCACACACACACACACACACACACACACACACAGATTTGGAATTTGTTTGGTTGGGAATGCTAACTCTGTAGTAGTTTTAGTATTAAACTGAGTACCCTAGTGACTTCCCCTGAGATATCCTGAATTCCTGTCTGCCAAATATCTCTTCCTGCCCACTGTAGTGATGCATGCCTATAACCCCAGCACTCTGGGAGCTGAGGTAGGTAGATCACAAGTGCAAGCTAAACCTGGGCAACTCAGCAATTTAAAAAGACCATCTCTCAATATTTTTATAAGTAAATTTGAAAGGGCTAGGAATGTAGTTCAGTGCAAAGGCTCTCAGTTCAATCCCCAGTACTGAACCAAAAAAAAAAAAATCCTTTTCTTCAAAAATTATACCTTCTTGATAGAAAAAGAGAGTGCTAAGAGACAAGGTCTATGCTTGATATACAACAGCTCTAGGATGCATGGGTCAGGGCAATGGAGACCTTCTGCAGATATCTCAGAACCCAGGGCCTTTACACTAAGCTACAGGGACTCATGTAGCTTTTTTAAATTTTGAGACAAGGTCTCACTAAATTGGCTGAGGTGGGCAGGAACTTCCAATCCTCTAGCCTCAGCCTCCCAAGTGCTGGAATAACAGATGTGCACCACCATACATAACTGATACATTTTAAAAACACATATGACCTGAAACCATATCAGACTGTACTAAAACCATTCAGATCACCCCAAAAGGGCTCAGCCTGGCCAGAGCCAGCTCAAACCAACCAAAATCAGTTCAGACTACCCAGAAGAAGCCCAGACCAGCTGAAACTGGCTCAAACTGTACTTAACTGGATCAGGCTGACTGAAACCAGATCACACCAGCAGCAAGCAGGGGAAACTGGTTAGAACCAGATCAGACTGCCTGGAACCTGCTCAGGTCAGGTAGAACTGGATCAGATCATCCCAAATCAGATCCAACTACCCAAACCAGATTAAGACTGACCAGAAAATGAAGGAATCAGCACAGACCAGCCAGAACTGCTTCAAATCAACCAGAACCAGATCAGAACAGCTAGAACTGGATACAACTGGCTCAGATGGACTGCAACCAGATAAAACTGCCTCAGAACAGCAAGAACTAGGTCAGACCAGCCATGACCAGTTTAGGCTGGCAAATTCTGCACCTTCTTTTCCGCATCACAAGACAGTCTTATTTGACAATCAGGAAACATCAGTCACAGATGACAATGATCCTGGCAGTGACTGTGCAGAACTCACATTGTGGGCTGTGACGACTCTTCAGGGCTTTCACTGTTTGTATGACCCATTTCCCCTTGACAGTTAGGGAAGGATGGGGCAGTTATAAAACCACTGCTGATGAGTATCCCCTATGCAGGGTAAGTGGTTACAGGGTAAGTTTGATACATGCTGTCAATTCATGTGCAAAAAAGGTTGTCAACAGGGACTCAACCCAAAGCTTTATACAGTTGTACACAGTTGTTCACAGGGCGACTGTCCCCACCTCCCCACGAGGTAGCAGCAACTCAACACTCACCTCTTCCACAGTGGATGAATGAACAAACACAACACGGTCCATCCATGCAATAGAATATTACTCAGCCATGAAAATGAAGGAAGAACTGACACATGTTGTATTGTGGAAACATGATGCTAAGTGATAGAACCCAGACACTAATGGTCTCATCTTGTATGACTTCATCGATGTGAAATGTCCATAACAGGCAATTCTAGAACAAAAAGCAGACTCGTGGCTGCCAGGGGCTGGAAGAGGGGAGAAAGATAGCTCATGGGGATGGGGTTTCCTTTGGGGTGGTGGAATATTCCAGAACTGGCAAAGGTGGTGTTTGTACTCCACAATGTACAGGTTGGATATCTCTTATTTGAAGTGCTTAGGACAAGCACTGTTTTGGATTTGGGGCTTTATTCAACTTTTGGAATTTTGCATATACCTGAGATTCTTGGGGATAAGACCCAGTCCAAACACATAATTCATTTATGTTTGTTATTCACATAGTGCGCATAGCCTGAGAAAGACCTTGCCATCTCCATTACTTCTCTTAGGGTCAGCACACTTAGGGTCACAGAATAGAAATGTCCCAGCCTGAAGACTCTTAGGAAGAAACTATTTAGCTCCACTCTTCATGTAATAGGGAACCAAGGAACAGAGTAGGAATGAACACTGTGCAGACACTGTGCTGGTCAGGCTTCAGTAGGCCTGAAACCCGGGTTCCTTGACAGTCAGGCAGGAGGGTGCCTTTTGGAGACAACAGGCACAATTCACAGCAATTTTTAGGGGACCAAATCACTTTGAAATATGAAAACTGAAATGGCTGGGAAACCAAAGAAAATTTTCAAAATGACTTTCTGACTCTGGGTAAACAGTAACCACATTTTTTTTGCCTGTTGGAGGCCTGGTTTTTAATCACTCCACAAGCAGTTTTCATTTCTGTAGTAAAATTGCTTGTGGTTCTATTTAATTTGTTTCTGCAGGAGCCAGCTTTGGTGAAGATCTCCGAGGAGCTGGCAGGCATTTTAGCACAGCACGCACAGCCAGTCAATGAGAAACGGTTCCCAACGTGGAGGAAATTCCTCCAAACATTTCTCAGTCAAGGTAAATAAGACTGTAAAGTTTCTATCGAGGATCCGTCTGCACAACCTTGGGTTCTGGTTTTGGCTCAACCCAAGGCTGATTTAAATATTTTTCCATCACCTGTGTTGGTTTTTCTAGAAAAGTGCTCCTACAGCTGCCTTTTTTCTTTTCTAAGCTTTGCTTAAATATTTGTCTTGCACTGAGCCTCTGAGTAAATAGGAACCAAGTGTTCCAAGCGTGGCATGCATATCTCAAGATTCCAGGTGGGTTTTGCCACAGACTCCTCCTGAGAGGTGGATCTGGACTTCATCCATGACCTTGAGTAAGGTTCTTAAATTCTCAGAGGCCCAATTTCCTCATCTATCACACACGGTTGTTGGGGGAAGTCAGTGCAATAGATATATGAAGGTTTCTACCACAGGGTCTGCCACATAAAAAAGCCTCTAATAAATGTTAGCTTTACTTTCCATGTTCCAGAAGAACAGAAATGGCCTCACTTCCAGCCAGGAAAGTTATCACTTCCAAGTAAGACTCTAGTCTACAGTCTAGGTACAAAGCCAGCTGCCATTCCTTTCCTCCTCCTCTTCTTTCCTCACCCTCACTTTGTGACAACTTTGGAAGGTCCAGGACTGAGAGAATGAACAGAACAAATGATGCTTATCCCCAGTGCATGTCAGGGCATACCCACATGAAGCCCTTCCCTGCCCAACAGAGTAAGGCACATATGGGTACCTGTATGAATCGTGAGCAAGGGTTAGCATAACAGATCAGAAAAGGTGTCTTTCCACTCTACTCACTGCCATCAAGTGATGATAATAACAGTACATCAGCATTAATACATGATAAGGTAATACTATTATGTCAAATGATAGCACCAGAAACAGCATGATAATGATAATAGTATAGTGATGAAAACATACCGAGGACCCACCAAGCTTATTATGTGCCAGGCATTGTCTTAAGTATACATATACTGACTTATTTGATCCTTCTAACAATTCTATGAGGTTAGTAACAGGATATCTTAGTCACTTTTCTCATCGCTGAGACACAATACCCAACGCTTGCAACCTAACAGAGGGGAGGTTCATTTTGACTCAGTTTCAAAAGTCTTGGTCCCTGCACAGTCGGCTGGTTTCAAGGGATAAACAGCATGGTGGAGGAGCCTGGCAGAGGAGAGCAGCTCACAACATGGCAGCCAGGGAGCAGAGAGAGAAGGGGAGAGCCAAGGAGGGAGCTATACTCCTCCAGGGTTGCCCCCAGTGACCCACCTCTCACCAGGCCCCAACCTCTAACAGCAAGTCCAGTATGAACTCATCGGTCACATGAGGCTTCTGGGGGACACCCCAGATCTAAACTGTAATGTGGTATCACCCTTGTTTGACAGAGAAGGAACTGGAGGTGCAAAAGATTAACTCACCCCAAATCACTCTGCTCCTGTGTAGACGAGCCTATAAAAAGCTACCTCTGTGTTGCCAGAGTCAGTGGGCATATTCACCAGGGAAAATATCTTATCCCAGTCTATAAAAGAGGACTAGAGAGGACAGGCTTGTTGGCTTTGGAATGTACTGGTTGACCAGGGCATGACATATGCCTTGTAAATGAATTACTTAAACAAGGGACTGGATGCCAGACACTTAACAAGAACAATGAAAAAGACAATGGGGGGGTGAGGACTTGTGCTACATTACCCCAATATCTTCTCATCTCTAAAAGTATGTGACTCTACAAATTTCTGTATGTATCCACAGATAGAAAAGCAAAAGTAAGAAATTCAACCTCATGCATAAATGGAAAGAAGTAAGATACCTTCCAAAAAAAAAAGAAAAAAAAAAGGTCAGGAAGAAGGGACTTGTGATACTGGGGATTAAACCCAAGGGCTTTGAACTGAGCTCTATTCCCAGCTCTCCTTTTAATTTTTCATTTTAAGACTGGGTCTCGCTAAGTTGCTAAGTTGCCCAGGCTGGGCTCAAACTTGCAATCCTCCTGTCTCAGCCTCCAAAGAGTGCCATCATACCCAGTAAGAACAAGGGGCTTTTTCTCAAATTAGAAGGGAAAGCCATGAAGATCTTTAGGTCCATCCAAGATAAGGTGTTAGGAAGTTTCCAGATCTTCTAAGGTCAGCTTGGGAAGCCTTCCTCTAAATTACCTCTCATGCAAGTTCCCAGACACTGTGTCACCTGAGCTATATAACTACAAGCTGAGGCTGCTTTTATCTTTATCTTTTTCCATCAGCTATGTAGTAAAAACTGTGTTTATTGATGAAAAACAGAACAGGCTTTGTTAGCACAATTTTAAAGGCAAAGAAACTGGGGTTCAGATAAATAAGAAATGACTTGGGTGACAGCGCACAACAGATAGGTGATGAATTACACAAAGTTAGATCCAACAATGTTTGTTTGTCTTAAAATCCAGAGCTTTTAAGTAGTACACTTCCTTGCCATAATGGGGCACCTCTCAAATATCCTGACTCTAAACTTACCAGCCCCACCAGCTTCCACTGTGGCCTGTTTATTTCATATCTGTTTTCTCAAGTGCCCTCACAGCCACAAAATATACTACAGATTTTATTTCTCTATCGCCATAGACTTTTTTTTTTTTTTTTTTGGTACCGGATATCAAACTTGGGTTCCTTACGCTTGCAAGGCAGGGGGCGGAACCGCTGAGCTAAATCCCTGGCTATTGCCATAGACATATCAAAGGCAATACATTTTTAAGGGGAATTAATTGCTTTGAAAGGAAAAAAATTAACAGCGAAAAATGTTGTGGTTATGATGCTGAGAAGACAGCACAAATAAGCTTTTCAGAAATAAAATACCTAAAGTAATCTGGTAAATAAAAAAGGATAACAGGTTACCGCTGAAGCATAATCTTCCAGAACAGGTGAAAAGGAAGGCCACTGAGTTAACTGAATCAGAAAGACTCACTAGGTTTTGTTTGTTTGCTCGTTTTTGTTTTTTTTTTAATTTGTGCATTTACCTCACTAAGCCCCAACAACTGGTATTCAGGCACAGAATACAGTATTAGCTGTCATTTGAAGAAAAGAACCTCTTGGACTAACCAGATAAAGTTAGAGATGGAATGGAATCCCTCCAAAAGTTTTCTGACTAAAACTTGACATTCATTAGGGCTATGTTTGACCAAGTTTATAGACATTTAAGAAAAGTGACTTTTTGGCCTGCCTTGCAAGCACAAAGACCCAAGTTCAATCCCCGATACCGCCCCCGCCACGAAAAAAGTGCCTTTTGTTTGAAGTAGCAGAGTACTGCCTTTGATAACAGCTATAATCTCAGAACTTAACCATATATGCTATTCTAAGCCTTTGGCTTGTCCCTATAGATAGAGGTCACCACCTGTCCCCAGAAAATTGGTGAAAAAGTGCCACCCTGTCTAGGAAGCACCTAGTTGCTTTTACTTTTAAATTATGTTCTTAACTCTTTACATATATTTTAAACTTTTTTTCTTCAAAAAGTATATATACAGTAACATTTACAAATTAGGCCTAAAAACAAAAATCAGGGCCCTGTAATTTTTGTGGCCACTCCTAAACTAGCCCCCAAATAAGCCAGCAAAATGTTATTTATGATTTCTGGTATGCAGAACAAAAATATGATAAATTATAAGGTTCTCATCAGAAAAGAGGTAGCACCCCCTGTTCCTCAAAAACAACAGCACCTCCTGGCTCTACACATTAAAAAATGCTTTGCAACTGGCTTTACAAAGGAATCCTTGAGCTGGCATAATAATAGTCAATGTTCTCCATGCCTGTGAAAGCCCCAAACCTGAGAAAAGCAACAAAGTTGAACAGATAGAGCTCGTTCATTGGTTTTCAAAATACAAACAGTGAACGATGCGCGGTTCATTCCCTAGAGAGATTCTACCATAACCCTTGGATTCATCATTCTCGAAATGAGAGCATGCAGACAACGGTATTTACAGTGTCTTCATCATTATGATCAGAATCAAAACCACCACTCACTGAGCCCTACTATGTGGCAAACTTTGGGCTAAAGTGCACAGCAACCTGGGGAGGTAGGTTTTATGATGCCCATTTTACAGATGAAGAAAAAGAGGTTCACAGACTGAAGGCCCTTGCTCAAAGCCTCCCAAGATCTGCCAGGTGCAGGATCTGTGCCCAAGTCCATCTGCCAAAAGCCTAGGCCATTCATTTCCTCCTCTAAGTGGGTGCAGTTCCTGTGAATGTGTCCCTCCGTTCACTCCATGCTTTTCCCACCAGGGGGCGTGATCCAAGCATTCCCACCTGCAGACAGTGTCACCAACCTGACAGTAGACATGCTGATTGAGCCCAATGGAGAGATCAAGGTGCTGTCAACAGGGGACCAGTTTCATGCCGAAGGTCCCTTCATTTCTTCTGGTACCACCGTGCCCCAGACCTCAGTGGATCCTCAAGTTCTCAGTTCTGTATGCCTCCGAATTGGAAAGGCCTGCCAAGTGAGAGATGTGGTTGGTTACTGTTCTATAGATCTAGTGACTTTTATTGATCCGAGGACCTTGGAACAGCAGGTAAGTTGAATGGATGCCAGAGAAAATATTAAAATATGCGATGATTCCCTATCCTGTATATCCATGCAGTGGATAATATGAGGGAACTTGTAGAACTCTGTGCTCTGGATGAGCTGACTCTGTAAGTTTACATCTAGCAGTCCATGCTAACACGTGTGAGACCAGGCTTTATGTCCAAAAATACAGAGCCTAGGTCATCTCATTCGGGGGCCACTGGAGTGTAAATGACTGAAACTCATCCCATATAGCTCTGCTGACTGGCGCTTCGTGCTAGGTTTGCCTCTTACCATGAAACCATTTTACACATCTCAGACGGAACCCATCTAAAACCTGTTCATAAACAAAATCTCTAGAAAGGAGTTAAGAGTCCTTGCTTCTGTTTCTCATCAGTAGCATATCCGCAAGGTAGGTTATCAATTGTTCCTTTTAAAAAGTGTATTGGGAAACATTTCAGAACTATAAAATGATCTAAATAATTAGGTGCCCCCATCCTGCTTAAGAAATAAAGTGGCACTGATACTATGAGCGGTACTGTGTACCTCTTACTGAAAGCCCAGCCCTTCCTCCTCACCGAGGACAGGTGAGAGAGTCCGTATGCTATTTGGCGGGGTGTGTGTATGTGTGTGTATGTGTGTGTGTGTGCGTGTGTGTGTGTGTGTGATTCCTTTCCATATCCTTCTACTTTTCCTGCAATGGACATGCCCATTGGCTCCATTTTTGCATGTTTTACGCATTTTAGAGATTGTAACATCCACATATTATTCTACAGTGTGCTTTTACTTATCAAGGTTACCTCTGTGGCACTCTTACAGCTCTATTCTGCATAAAAAATTTTAACTATTTTTGCTTTGCTTTCCCCACCGAAATTATAATGTTGGTGTTCACAACTATTTCATGGAACTCATTTGCTCTTTTCACACGGGTTCCAGACTTCTGTCTGAAGGATGAAATGGACTTCTAGCCTCCCTCTCTCCATATCCTCTGGCCACTGGGCAGTGTAAATATACCATAGTTGTTTTATATTCGTTGTTCTCAGTTTTATTGTTCTCCATTTTATCAGATGATAGTTTCAAAGCGAGACTTTACGTTTTGGGTAGTTTCCAGCTTAGTCAATAACCATTTTCCAGTTGCCTTCCCAGATCCTCTGTTGGCTTCATATTCTGTTCTCCCCACAGGCTGAAAGAGAAAAGGACAGGCTGAAGGGCATTCAGAAATCTACCTGGGGTGGAGGAGGACAGAAACACGGGCCCTGGAGAAAGAGCCCAGTAGCAGGAAAGCAGGGGGAGGAGAAGTAGGGGAGGCTGCCTTCACAAACAACTGTCACCAGGGAGAGGGATGAATTCCATGGGTCCTGGACTTGCGGTTCTTACTTATTTGGGTTTGTTATAGGAAGACTTGCACCCTGCCATGAGAGAGATCTTTACACAGCTCTGGTTTCCCCCTGGACTTATCACCTGTCTGGGATTCTAGGAAAAAGGACCCACCCTATCCTTGGCTGGTCCTATGTACCTGGTCAGTTTTGTCTCACCCTAACTCCTCCTCTTTATCTCTCTTGTCAACTCACATGGCCTCAGTCTCAGTCATCACACTACCTCTGCCACAGGGCCTTTACACATGCCACCCCTCTGGCTGGAAAGCTCGACTCGTCTTTTGACCTTACCCCTCTTCCTTACCAAATTTCACCTCAGGCCTCACTTGTTTAGGGAAGCCTTTCCTAATTTTCCTAACAAAGTCAAATTCCACTGTTTGAAGTTCTCGTATTATCATGTAGTTCTTTCCTATCTCTCATCTCAGTTGCAGGTTTAAACTTGTTTACATGATTATCTGGTTAGCACTGTCTCCTGTTATAATCTGTAAGCTCCCTAAAGGAGGTACTATGTCTCTTTTTGCTCCTCATCATATGCGTAGCACTTAACCTTTGCCCTGGCACAAAGTAAGTGCTCAGTAAATATTTGTTGAATTAATGAGTGAACAAGAGAGATGCCCTAGCCAGTGTAGGATGGTGTTGCTAAGGTGTTTGGAAAAAGAGCACAGACACTGGCTGAATGAATGAAATGGATGAATATTAATCCAAGAGTCTCTGACTTTATGCTACAAGTTCTCCTTGCTCCTTCCCATTAGTACCTGGAAATACGGCAGTCTGAGCTATGGTTGTTAGCAGAACACTGGAGGAAGTTCCCGGTGACCATGCCAAGTGACCATGTCCCATTAGCCCATTTGCTCCCTGTACCAAAAAGGATGTTTGCAAATCACAGGCATAGTCTCTAGTCACTCCGTAAGTGGGGTCACCTCAGGAAGCACCTTGATTTATTTTCTAACTGGCATGACTTGTGATGCCAGTGAAGAGACTGGCACATTACCAACCCCCCATTTTTGCCTATTTAACAGATCTTTTAAAAAACGTTACCTGATTTTACTCAGTATTTCTTTTTTACTTACGATGCACAGCTTTTCATGTCTGTTGACCGAGTTACCTCTTCTCTTAATTGTCTCATGTCTTTTGCCACTTTGAAATTTGAATATAATGTGAACTTTGATCTTAAAAGCTCTTTGTATATGAAGAACTCATTGTCTGTTTTGGTGCCAGGGATCGAACTCGGACCCTTATGCTTGTGAGGCAAGCAGCGGGACCACTGAGCTAAATCCCTGCCTCAGAAGAACTCATATTTTAGAAGCTCCTTATATACAGTTTTAAGCTAGGAAATTTGTGGCAATTTGTTACAGTAGCAACAGGAAACTAAAGGACAAGGGATTGCTGTTTTGTTCTTTGTGCTTTCTGCATTTTCTTTTTTAATTTAAGCTTTAAATTTGGCTCATTTATTTATTTCTGGTGCTGGGATTGAACCTGGGGCTCACATATCTAAGCACGCACTCTGCCACTGAGCCGTACCCTTATCCCTGGCATTTGCATTTTCAGAAGTAAGCATGTATTATATTTCTAAACAGACAAAAATAGGAATATAATCAAAAATTTGTATTGAATATTACTGCTCATAAAGTATTTTCATATGTATGACCTTATTCACGTATAAAAGTCATGCAGTAGACAAGGGAGGCAGAAAACTAAGGCAACCTTTGCATTTAAATTCTTGCATGCTGGGCTGGGCGTGATGGCGCACGCCTGTAATCCCAGCACTTGGGAGGCTGAGGCAGGAGGATCACTGTGAGTTGAGACCAGCCTGGGCTGCATAGTGAGTTCCAGGTCAGTCTCAACTACATAGTGAAGCATAAATAAATAAATAAATTCATTCTTGCATGCTGGCCCTGGCTCGGATCCATAACTCACCAGGCTGGCACAGTAGAGGACAAGGGAACCTCTGGAGCCAAGCGAAAGTAGGTGCCCAAGAGTGGAGCATGGAGGACAGGCACACTGTGACTCAGCTTCAGACAGGACTGTGGGAAATTCCCTCTAGACCCAGGGAGGTGAGAGCAAGCTCTCAGGTAGCAGAGTAGAACAGTTTGGAAACGGAGGGTTTAAGTACTGGGAGGCTCGGGTAGAACTCAGGGTCATCTGGGAATAAAAGGAAAAGGAGCTGGTGAAACACAGTACAAAATGGCTTCCAACAGCGGCTGTGGGGCCCGGATTCCAGGACCCTACAAATGGGGACACCCTGGGCTCTGGAAGGCAGTCATGGCGCAGATCTGGTCTTCTCTGGTGAGGACGGGGGGCGGGGGGCTCTGCCTCAGGATCTGGTGAAGGGATCCAACCCTTAAATCAACAGCAGCGAAAGCCGTTTCCAAACCCTAAGGGCTCTGGACGGGCAATGTCTCTTGGAAGTACCTGCCAAAGGCCCCGGTCTGAGTAGGGACTGACACGCTCCTGATTTAACAAGGAGGGCTACACTGCCCCAGGTGCTGAGGGAATAAACAAGACGTGCTCGGTCGCGACATGTACCCTGTCAACTACTTCACAGTCCTCACCCAATGTCATTTATATCCATGAACACAGTTGTTCTCTGCTCCTACAAGGGCTCACAGGCATAAATATTCCCTCCATACATTTTTAAATACTCTAGCAAATATACTCAGCCTTGTATTTTTTACTTCTTTGAGATATTTAACACAATGATGGTCTATTAGGCCAGCAATCTGATTTTTATTTGTTGACTGATGGACTTTCGGAACTTCTAGATGATCCAGATCTATTGAGCTCATTTATTCACTCTTGGGAAATTGGCAATAAGACAAGTATTGATTGAGCACCTATTATGTACAAGCCATGATGCCAGTGTTAGAAAAGCTGCAAGACACTAGAGATGTGGAAGTATCTGCCCTTAGGAAGCTCTCAATCTAGCTGGGGAGACAAGTTTAAAAAAGGAATTACTAGAAAAGGCTTGCATGACAACTGCATAAAATGTTAAAAAGAGACATCAAAAAGGTAATGTCAGTTTAGCTACCAAATGGTGTGCCACATGAATTCAGACAAGAGAAATACCACCTCTGTGTGAGGCAATCAAAAAGGGTTTTTACAGAATAGGTGGGACGTGAGCTGAAAGATGAGGATTTGAAGGAGGATAGGAAAGAGGTGTATTCTAGGTAGGAAAGAGGTTGTAAAGGGTGGTTGTAAAAGAAATCCATATATTTGAGTAAAAAGTGATGAGCTGCATCTTACAGACATCATCTCTGACTTGTCTCACGTAAATATGAACTTATATGACAATTCTTTCTCTTCAAATAAAATTCTCTAGGGCTGGGGATTTAGCTCAGTGGTTCTGCCACCTGCCTTGAAAGTGCAAGGTACTAAGTTTGATCCCTGGTACCAAAAAAATAAATACATAAAATTCACTAAACAGGTTAGCAAAGATGCTTTCTGCTGGAATTTCCAGAGGAAAAACACCTTTGTTTTCAGATAATTATGAACATCTATTTTATGAAAACTGTTACTAATTCTAAAAGGAAGTGGGGATTCAATCTTTAAGAAAAAAATTTAGAGGAAAAAAACGGCTGTAGGTAGCTAGTATTCGCCCTAAACATGTAAGGAAGCCACAAAAGGAAATGAGAACTGTCAGCAAGTACAGATTATAATGAAGACAAAAATAGAGTCGCTGATGATATGTATCAAAGTATATTCTACATATTATGGTTTAGATCTAAAGCTTCATGTGTTTGGAAGGTAATCAGCTTATGGCGGCATCGTAGCTGACTTTCTCTTAGCAGGTGGGGTCTGGTCAGAAGAGGCAGGTAACTGGGGGCATGGTGGGAAGAGTTTATCTCCTTGCCTGGCTCCTCCCTTCCCTCACAGTTTCCTGTCAGCCATGCTGTGAGCAGCTCTCCTCCACCAGTCCCCTCTGCCATGCCCCCCTGCCTTGGAGCCAGTAGACTATGGCCTGAAACTGCTACAAACTGTGAGCCAAAATGAACCTTTCTCCTTTAATTTGTGAATGTTAGGTTTTTTGTTCCAGCAACAATGTGACTGTATATTCTGAAAGCTTTTTCTTTTTTTTTCTTTTTTTTTTTTTTTTTTTGTAAATGGGTTTGAATTTAAGACCCTGTGTTTAA